TTGTCACAGAGATCTTTAAAAATTGCCAACCCGACGTACACAGCGACCGTTAGAATGTCTTTTATCAGTTGCATCAAAAGCACTGACTCTCAATAAACTGTTTATTTCAAAGGTGTAAAAAACTATTTCCCCCGTAACAACCAACACGGTTAAAGAGATAAAATTAGGTGTCACATTTTTTGGGTCAACCTTTCCTAACCCCTTCCTTCCGTTGTTAGAAGGAGGCATCACCGTAAAAGCTAGTTGTCCGAGGCAAACACCTTACTGCTATCACACCTCTTTATAGTTAGCAGTACAACTTTTCCCTCAGACCTTAAGTTGCTATTTTTAGTCTTATCGTTCTCCAACCGACCTGCCTGAAATGGTGAGACCCAAGAGAATAGGCGCTTCAGCCAATAAGGCTCGGCTGGATGATTGCGACCATCACATTAAGGTAGCAGCTACGGTTGGAGAGAGAGGAAATTCGTAGGTTACTGGTATTCGATCATAGGTGCCTTCGAAATATTACTCATATATCCTAGGACTATCGATATTAGATAAGGATGGCAAATCAGTTGAGATGGTTGAGAAATGTGTTACATATTCTTAGCCACCTGCTACCTCGACAACCAACGTTGTCTAATGTATAGGAAGTCTGGAAAAATGCTAGCGGAGGTCAAACCCAAACATAAGCACATGTCTATGAAAACACTGACAACTGAACTAAGGCATGTTAGCAGATGTAGACTACCTGGTTGAGGTTCGTGAAACATTTAGTAACCTATGGTTAGAGACCTTGAACGACATGGGTCAAAATCGCTAGCAAAGGCGCAGATGCATCTATTCTTTGGCTTTCCCCAAATTCTAGTCTTTTTAGTTCATCATGACTTGCGCTGATGTGGTATGGCAACTTGAACCGATGTACGTAGATGCCAAATACTACGTTGTTGTTAACTGGCTGACTGACTAACTAACTGACTACTATGCAATATGAGTAATAACAAATAAGATATTAGCTATTGTAATCTGTTTTATTTGTCATTTATCATTCCTACTATTACAAACAACTTCTAAAAAGAAAATATTTTTTTCAAAAGAACTTCATTCATTACATTTCATTAAAAATATATACAAATGTTCATAAATTCAACAGACATGTACAATAAATAGACAAGCTAATAAATTTGTATATGAATACACAATCAAATCATCCCTCCTTCTTCTTCTTTCTTTCTTTATCATCCTTCTAATTCAAGTTTTTTCGGTTTCCATATTGTTTCAGCTAATTTATGTTGATCTTTAACAAGTAGACGTAGATATTCTCGAGCTGTGAATAAGTCATCTTCACTGAATTGTTCTTTAAATTGTTTAGAATTTAATAATTTATTATAATGATGATAAATTTTATCCATTTCATGAATTGTTTGATGTAATAATTCTTGTCCTATTATTATCATTATTATTGACAATTGAATATTGTTTTAATGAAGTGAAATTTAAAAAAATAAATAAAAATTTAGAAGAAAAAAAACAAACCAATGTAAATAGTATATTAAAAGATTAGATAATGACGACTGTCTGCTGCAACTATGCTCAGATAACCGCCTATTGCTAGAAACATCTCTTGATCTAGCGACCCGCAAAGCCGACCCAAATAGACCACATTGCTGCCAGCTACCGATGGAGAGGCTGGATTAAAGACTGCCGCTCATTCTGGAGCACACGCGCTCTAGTGCGAGCGCGTACTTGTTTGTGGCTTACTGAATGTAGGAAAGACGCTGCAAGGAAACCTCTTCGAGTTCTAATTTAATGATAGCATAGCTAAGAATATATTTCAGGAACAACTAGAAAAACAGTTAGGCAGCGATAATGTTAGGAATAAACAGTAGATTTCAATAGCATATACCGAACTAATGGATGCTCGAAAACTCATCCCGGCCGGCTCTGAGTACGATGAGGAGTGGAGTCAACTTAAGCACAGGCTGATAAGAAGCCTACGCAATTACTGAGAACATTGGTGGGTTGTGAGAGAGAAGAAAACGTCACCGGCGAAAGGCAACAGCAGACAACTGTTCAAACTTATCAAGGACACCGGTATTAGGAATCTGACTGTGAGACTATCTCAGAAAAGGATGGGCTCATTATTCATTCTCAATCAAGGAGGTTGGATCGATGGGCAAAGCACTTCAGCGATCAGTTTCATTGGCCTTCAGTCACACTTTAGCTGCCCACGATGGCAAATCGACGTGAGTCCACCGACTGTTTATGAAGTTGAGAAAGCTATTGGAAATCTGAAGTGAGGGAGAGCAGTAGGTCCTGATAGGCTTGCCCCTGAGATTTTTAAGGATGGTGGTCCAGTTTCAACAGTTAGATTGGCCGAGATCTTAGGTAGAATCACGGAACTGGACGCAATCCCATCCTACTAGTCTCAATCCCTGATCGTCCCAATTTATAAGAAAGGACAAAAGGCCTCTTGTGATAATCTGTTAGTGGGACATAGATGGAATTAAGCATGACTACGTCGCTACGCGCTGATTGGCTAAATTCCTATCCAATCAGCGCCTGATCGAAGCTTGGAGAACAGGATAGAAAATTCTCGTATTATTAGCTGCATGCTGATTGGTCAAATCCAGTCCAGTCGATCACGTGAATTTTCTTCCAGAAGTTTTCTCATGAAAAGGCTATAAATAGACTAGCATTGTATTTATCTTCGCCTTCTTAGCCTTCAGCCTTCTTCGCCTTCAAGCCTTCTTTGCCTTGGCTTTCGCCATCACCTCCGGCTTCTTTTCCTTGCTATTTTGGAATACAATCCTTCCTGTTCAACCGTGTTCTGATTTGAGTTACTTGTCCAGTGTTTTGTGTCAAGAATACTAAGCAATAAGATTAGGCCGGGAAATATCTTAAGCAACCGTTACAACATAATCACAGAGGAATCAGTTTAACTAATATAGTGTCTAGATAGCCGGCCTTGATAATACTTAGATGCCTAACTAGACCTCGTACGTAAGCTTTTCTCAGGAGTCTTTGAACTGATCGGCTATTTTTAGTGAAATTAATGATAACAATAAAAAAAACTATGCATTTTTTTGATGTAAGCTCCCTTTTTTACGACCAATCAAATTTACTCAAGACTGATGATTTACTTTTGTGACTTACACATCAAGTAATTTCCCTCTTGCTGTATTTAGTCAACATTAATCAGAGAGAACAACTTTTATTATGTACTGGTAAAAGATCTACGTTTGTAAAGTGAACATTTTTGACATAATGAAAGTTTTTCTATGAGTGGCCATCTCGGGCCTTTGTTCGCTGAATTGTATGCATGTCATATATTAAAAATATAACGAGTGAACTGTTTATCAGTGAAGTAACTATGTATAGAGGATACATCGATGATATACTACTAATCATTCAATGTTGCTTAGTTATTAGATAAACTCAAGAAATGTGCACTTCACATACGTTTAAAGGCACGGAACGTCTGACCGAAACACTGATATCATATAGTTACCGGCTGTAATTTACATGGGAGTAGTTCTCAATAGACTGAGAAGTGAAAGTTTGGAATATTATTCGTAAATATATCATTGAAACTAGTCACAGTACGAATGATAGATGGCTATGAAAAATAAAGTAACTTTTAATTTTTACTAATTAAAATAAACGTGACTCTAAATACGGTAACATGGACAGTAATATGGACAAAGACTAACCTTGAGTCAGTGCTTTTTGACGAGATTCTTGAGTAATTACAGTATTTAACCTTATGGTAAATGCATGTTGACCAGCTGACTGGATTCTACTTTCACCAGAACCATCTTTACGTGGATCTAAAAATGCGACTACAGCTTTTCGAGCAGAAGCAAATAGTTCAGGTCTACCAGTAAGATCAACAAGAAGATATTGATCGCTCAAATTTGCTCTGTTATGAGAATTATTTGAAGAAATGTTTTGATGCATAGAATTTTGTAAAGTTAAATTTGCTACTTGACCAAGTTTTACATTGGCATCAGGAATCTATAAAAATGGGTTAATGATATAAAATGCGGTTTAATAGTAGTAGACTAAGGAACTAATAGTTGAATACGAAAAATAATTTGTAACGTTTCTCCATGTTGTCTAGAATGAGGTTTCAGGAGACCATGAATAACTTTTCGCGAACTCGCATCGTTTGCATTAGCGGTGCAGTAAGATAAAGGAATAGGAGTAGAGTTAATCGTGGAGATAAGAGAGATATTAGGGGTTTTCGGAAGGATTTGATTTTGGCCGATTTGGTCTCGCCTGCTGTTACTAGTATGAGGGCGGTTTTCCCTTCCCGGTTGCCCACACCGTGAAAGGTTGTTTCTTGAAGGACCTGAAAAAGAAGGTTGATTAGCGTTGGTCTTAACGACCTGGGAGCGTGACCGCAGAGCCCAAGGGACTACTGCTTCAGGCCGGTCACGCACGGCATTTTTATTAAAGGTTTTCTGAGTATTAGCTCCGCTTTTAAAAGCCCTTATTGGGTAGCCCTTACCGACGGAGACGGAAATCCATGGAGTAGGGAGAGGTGTGACATTTTTAGGGTGGACCTTTTCTAACCCTTCCTTCCTTGTGAGAAGGCAGCATCGCTGCAGATGCTGATTGTCCGAGCGAAACACCTTACTGTTGTCACACCCCTCTGCAGTCAGCAGTATGACTTCGCCCTCACACCTTGAGTAGCTGCTTTTAGTCTCATCGTTCTCCAATCGATCTGCCTAACATGGTAGAACCTGCAGGAACATATGTTCCAGCCAGTATAGCTCGGTTGGGTCATCACGATAGACAAGCCCGACCACCACGTCAAGGTAGCAGCTACGGTCGAGCCAGCGATATATTGGTCTATATGATAACTCTCTCTCTCTCATTACGCTTTTATAGTTGGTATTTAGTTAAAGAGAACAAACCAACTAATTGTCTTTTATTAGCTACCGTTTATACAAATACCTTGATATGATTGTTGGAGTTAGCGATCTACATAGTCTGTAGTTTTTTATTACTTATGCTTGAAACTACTTTGAATTTTCTATTGAATAATTTATATTTTAGCGTATTATTTTACTGAAGAGAATATTTATTGAAATGGTCAGTTATGATGCCAATATATATATATATATATATATATATATATATATATATATATATGTTTGTTTTAGAGACAATTTTAAATAAATATAGTTTCATGAACAGTAAACCACCAACCATTTTGTATCATTGTTCTCCATCAACAAGACTTCGATATCTGTGCTTAAAATACTGTCAATCGATAACACATCACCACTCACCACAGTTTAGATAATTCTTTATTTATTGTTATGACAGTTTAATTAAGCGTTTTTTTATAAGATAAACTAAGAGGAATATAATATAAACCCTGTTCTTCTATAAGCATACCTTATTGAAGTACAAAGTTTGCATTTTTCCACTTTACTAGAGAATACAATAACGCCGTATAGAAGCTGTTCCAGGGTTACTGCCGGTCCCGAACCCCGATAAAGGCGGAAGATTAGGTATGAGGTTAGCAACCGAATACCGTAGAAAACAGCTTTACTAAAAGAACACTAACCGGAAATTTTCATTTTAAACCTGTCCTGAAAATTGGAGGGATTTTACTTATAAGAGTTATAACGCCTTGTGGTGATGACCGAGTCTTTTGGAAGTCACTTTTGACAAACAGAATAACAATTAACAAAGGTACATGGGATTTCTACACAGTGTGAGAATTCGGGAGAACCATCCGAGTTACTGAGGAAATGAAAACATATCACGTCGTAATACATAGAATAAGTGAAACTCTTTGGATGCAAGCTGAACAAAAAAAGAATAGCTTCAGGAGAGATGCTGTTGCACTCCAGTCATGAAGAAGAAAATGTCTTACATACCTGAGATCAGTTTTATTAGAGGGTGTAGTCGATCGTAGAGAACTGCCTAGCAAGAGGCCTGACTAGTTTGAAGACAGACCGGATGACCGAACATCATGGGACGACAAGGTACTGGGCAAAGATAAACGAAAATGGTAAATCAATATGCCTCCAACAAAATGGTTGTAGATGGATCCATATTCCCACACAAACACATACACAAAGCTACGTGAGTTTCACCTGATTACACTAGAAAGAAACACAGTGATCACATCTGCACCAATAAAGAGTTCAGAAGGTCAATGGAGGATGTAAAAGTAAGGGAATGAGCTGATATAGCTCCTGGTTGTAGCCAAGATGAAGCTGAAGTTAAAAATGCATTGGATAACCAAACAAACAGCATAACAAAAGTCTAGTTATAAGCCTTGATCTACTCAGACAAGAGGAAACTTCAGTAGAGAACTGGAGAAGACTTAAGGAAGCAATGAGCTTGTCGTGTCAGGCACTGGGCTACAAGGATCACCAACATAAAGAATGGATCTCTGTTAATACCCCAAGCAAGATTCAAGAAAGGAGAAACAAGAAGACAACAATTTATCATAGCCGAACAATAGCACAGAAAGCCAAGGCACGAAACCGAATACAGAGAGGTAAATGAGGAGAAGTACAAAAGCTCATAAACGGAAATATGAGGAAGACCTAGTAATGTTAGAGGGAAAGCTGCAAGAGAGGGAAATATAAGACAATTATACGTTAAAACGAGGGGGTTCAATGGAAAATATAATAAACTACAGCGGCCAATCAAGAACAAAGGAAGTAGTCACTGACATCCAAGATTAGCGAAACAGATGGGTAGAGCACCTTGAAAAACTTTTCAACAGATCAGCCCGATTAAACCCATTCACCATCGGAGTAACGACAGATCTTGCGATCGATTTTAAACTACCGACTATGGAGGAAATCAGCATGGTCATAAAATAAATCAAGCGGGTCAGACAACATACCACCTTAGGCACTGAAAACAGACACATTAGTAAATGCAAAGATGCTCCACACTCTCTTCAGTAAGATCTGAAAGGAACAACAACTACCAACAGACTGCAAATAAGGATACCTCATCAAGATACCAAATAAAGACCTTAGTAGGTGTAAGAACTACAGAGGTAGTACACTACTATCATTACCAGCAGAAGTATTTCATCAGTGTTGTTGAATCGGATGAAAGATTCAGTATACACCCAACTTTGAGATCAGCAGGCTAGATTTCGTAAGGATCGATCATGCACCAACCAAATCGCTACACTACGAATTATTGTGAAACAATAAGTTGAGTGAAGCTCATCATTACACATCATCTTCTTTGATTACAAGAAAGAACTTGACAATGTGGACAGGAGAACCTTACGGAACCTTACTCAACACTATTGAATACCGGCGAAAACTGTCACCACCATTATACAAAATTCTTACAATGGAATGCACTGCAAAACTTTGGATGTAGAACAACTCACAGATGCATCCTAAGCGAATACTGATGACAGATAAAGCTGGTTATACTCGCTCTTCCTTTTGGTGGTTAATTGAATTATAAAAATCTTAGCATCTTAGTGGAAGCACAAAGTACAGTAGATAGCTCGGATACTTCACTTCTATCTGAAGTTTATGCTGATGATGTTGTTCAGGAGAAAAATGAAAGCTCCACAACCAAAACATCCAGCTCAGAGAACGAAACACCACCACAATAGCTCGGATACAGCTGGATGAGTTGGACTTCGCATCTTTACCTGAACACTATCAACAATCTACTGTGGTAGAAAACAAACCAGCTTCTGGATAAGTAGGAAATTAGGAAAAAACACTGGAACTGAATGGGATACATATGGACGGAATCGAGCAACTGCGGCACGATGCAAACCCTAACTCGGAATCTTAATGGCCGGATAAACAAATGTTGACCACAGAAAACATTACGCGAAGCATTTGCGATAGACATGAAAATAATGAACAGTGATTGGGGACAACGGGGAAAGAGAATCGAAGATAGAGTTACTTGGAGAATCCAGATAGATGGCCTACGCTTCGCGAGAGGTAACAGGTGTAAGTAAGGAACGCAAAAGTAAACCAATACCATCGTGTACACAGCAAACCGTTTCTGTTAGTGATAAGTCTGCAAACATTCTATCTGATGGAAAATATATAGCATTCCAAAATGCTTAATGAATGATATTCTAGGAAAGCTAAATTTCCATAAAAAATATACCCATGTGAACAAAGCAGGAACAATGTTTCCATAATATTATGAATTCATTGTATTTCGTTGCATTTTCCTCAGCTACACACAAGTCTATAAGTCTAATTATTTTCGATTATCAACATGATGTTCAATTCAAAAAAAATGAAAAGTTAATGGTGAATCGGTTGTTTGGAATAAAAACGAAGTTATTCATCTAACTCCTTAACGGGCTCTTATAATTGTTCAGGGTGATAGACCTAAGAAAGATAATATCACTACGTAATATAACAGATTTTGTTTTAGGAAGTATGAGGTAGAAAATAGGACGTTTGGTCAACTCACTATATTGTGATTACAATTGGCTGATAAAGGATGAGTTAAAAAAAATTATTTGCTTGTAATTAAGGCTGATGAAGGTTAACCAGTGACTCTTTTCGACATACAAATGTCAGGTTTAGGCATTCTGATTACTATGGTCTTTGATAATCCTAAGACATTAGTGAAGTGCTTACTGATCACTCTGAATGTGTTCCTTACGTCAAAGTTACGCTCTGTGTCTTCTAGGTGGAGTGTTATTGTGTTACAAAGGCTGTTTCGACCCTGAATTTGTAAGTTCCTGGGAATATTGCCACTAAAACATGTGGTGACATGCCCTTCTATACTTCCGATGTACATGCATGCCATACAAAGTGATATATACAACTGGGGGGGGGTTGACATATGACGGATAGTAACTTACTTTTATTTGTTACTGAACGAAGTATTCTGTGTATAACTATAACTCCAGTGGCTAGCTGAGAAAATGTAGATTGATGAATCAACCTACACTAATCTTGAAAGCGAAAGATATGTAATATCTCGATAGTCAACAGCAGTTAAGAATTAAATTGTGAATAATTAGGCCAACATTTGTGAAAATATTAAAATCAAGTGACTGAATGTTCAAAATTAGCATTTAATCATGTGCTTACCATAATATCGAAAAATAATTGTGGAGTCATTCTTAAGGTTAAACGTTGAACAAGCGAGTTTTGAAAGTGTGACAAGATATTTTGAAATTCTTTGTTCATCTTATCTTCTTTTAGGAATGACAAAACTTCTTCAGTGACATCACTTCGACTAACAATTTTAGAATGTTTCGCATGTCCCCCTTTTGATTTCCAGCGCACTGATGAGTGCAGAGCTGAATTGTATGAAAATACTGGACTAAAGATACTTCCTCTCCAAGCTGACAACTGAAAAATGCTAACTAAAGAAGAGTTGAACTTGTGAAGTGATAACAGCCGATTCATGTTTATTAAGATGTTTCGTTCCGTGAAATCCAAAAGTATAGAACCGAAAAATCTACCCGACTCGTTATAGGTGAAACAGATGAAAATCAAAACATCGATCAGTCAAGAACAGTGAACTCTGAAGCTATGATATCACA